GAGAGAGAAAGAAGGATAAAGGTATAAAATGGAAAACAGAGGAAGAGACAATTATTTCGACAGAAGAGATGAATGCCTCAATTAGAATATCTGTCAAGGTTGATACTGGAGAGGGAGAAAGAGAGAGAGAGAGAGAGAGAGAGAGAGAGAGAGAGAGAGAGAGAGAGAGAGAGAGAGAGAGAGAGAGAGAGAGAGAGAGAGAGAGAGAGAGAGAGAGAGAGAGAGAGAGAGAGACAGAGACAGAGAGAGAGAGACAGACAGATAGACAGACAGACAGAGAAACAGAGACAAACAAACAGACACGTGTGACCAAAATTTGTACATACACGCATACAGGACACCTACACCTACACTTGGAGATTCGTCAGGTGTGTCGCAGGTGTTTCGGATCCACCTCCACCCCCTTGCCTCCCCCCTCCCCCTACACACCTTAGCGAGTGTAACTATACGTTAATAATTCGGTAATAACAACAATCATTTCCATCAGGTTTGTTTACGTCAGCACCGACTGGAAGCGGCTGGAAGTGAGTGGCAGTTTCTGGCAATGATGGGATTACGTCACGAAATTCGCTAATCTAGTATATATATATGTATATATGTATATATATATATATATATATATATATATATATTATATATATATATATATATATATATATTTGTGTGTGTGTGTGTGTGTGTGCGTGCGTGTGTGTGTGTGTGTGTGTGTGTGTGTGTGTGTGTGTGTGTGTGTGTGTGTGTGTGTGTGTGTGTGTGTGTGTGTGTGTGTGTGTGTGTGTGTGTGTGTGTGTGGTGTGTGTGTGTGTGTGTGTTTATATACGCTGTACAGGATATACACATATCTCTCTTATTTACGAAATACAAAATGTATGCAAGGATTATTACATAAAAAATCAGAAGGAATTAAAATAATTGGTAGGAACATCCGGAAAGAATAAGAAAAGGCAGAGAGAGAGAAAAAAGAAAGAGAAAGAGGAAGAAAGAAAGATAGAGAGAGAAAGAGAAAGAAAGGGAGAGAGGGAGAGAGACAGACAGTACAGACAGAAAGCGATATAATGAGATAGAGAGAGCGGAATAAAAAGAAAGGCAGACAGGGAGAGACCGAGAGGGGAAGAGACAAATAGATGGTTAGATAGATAGAATAAGGAGGGAAGAGTAGCATAAGTGCACAGTAGGATATCCAGCCCACCGTTTAAAGCAATTGCAACAAACGCGGGTAATAATGGTTAGGAGGATATTTTCAACATCAATTTCAACCTCGACTTAGATCCCTTGTGATTTTTTTTATCTTTTTTATTTATTTTTATTTTTTTGAGTTTTTTTTTTTTTTTTTTTTTTTTTTTTTTTTTTTTTTTTTTTTTTGCCTAGACGGGAAGTTCTCTTATTATGTATAATTGGGATCCGAAATCTTTTACTTTTCTTTCCTTTAGATACAAACAGATACAAATGTACACAGAAGGTATATGAGAGAGAGAGAGAGAGAGAGAGAGAGAGAGAGAGAGAGAGAGAGAGAGAGAGAGAGAGAGAGAGAGAGAGAGAGAGAGAGAGAGAGAGAGAGGAAGACAGAGAGAGAGAGAGAGAGAGAGAGAGAGGGGGGGGAGACAGAGAGGTATCTTTACAAACGAAAGAAAGAAGGAAAAAAAAAAACTGAAAAAAATATACGAATAATACACACACCTCATTGCCCTATTCTAGCCTTAACAATCTATCCACAGCCCATCTATCGACTCTCCTTTGCCCCTTCCCATGCCCTGACTCTCTCTTCCCCCTCCCCCATTCCCCTCCTCCCCTGACTTCTCTCCCTCCCCCCCTTCCTCCTCCCCCTGACTCACTCTTTTCTCCTCCCCTCCCTCTCTCCTCTGGCTCTCTCTTTCCCCTCCCCTCCTCTCTCCCTCTGGCTCTCTCTTTCCCTCCCCCCTCCTTCCCCATAGTCCTGTCTCCCCCATGCTACTTCCCGTCCATCTGCCCATACCTACCACCCTCCCCTACGCTCCCCTATGCCCTACTCACCCCCTACCCATACCCATGCCTACCACCCTACCATACCCAGACCTTCTCATACCCCCTCCAACCCCTTCCCACTCCCGCCCTCTCAATCTCCTGCCATTCCCTACTCCCTTGCCCAACCTCGCCCTAGCCCACTTCGCCCTTACCCACCCTCGCCCCTTGCCCTCCCTTTGCCACCTGCCCTTGCACCCTCCCTTTGCCCTTGCCCTCCCCCCCTTGCCCACCTGGCCAGCCCTGCCCTTTGCCCACACCGCCCTCGCCCCCTTTGCCCACGCCCCTTGCCCACCTCGCCCCCCCCTCCTCCCACTCGTCCCCTCGCTGCCCACCGGGCAGGACGTTAAAAGAGCCATCTCTGTTTGCCCTTTTTCAGTGGGGGTTTCTGCGCGGAAGAAGGGCATATCGTCGCTTGCCTATTCACGCGCGCCGGCTGCGGGGAGCGTTGTCTGTCTGTCTGTCTGTCTGTCTCTCTTTATTCTCTCTCTTTCTCATTTTTATTATGTTTTTTATTCTCTTTCTTTTTCTCTTTTATTCTTTTTTTTATTCTCTCTCTTTTTCTCTTTTCTCTTATCTCTTCTCTGTTATTCTCTCTTTCTTTCTTTTATCTTATCTCTGTTATTCTCTCTCTCTCTTTCTCTCTTTCATCTTATCTCTGTTATTCTCTCTCTCTCTTTCATAACTTTTAATAGATCTGTTATTTCTTTCATCTTTACTTCATTCTTAGAAAAAAGAAAGAAAGAAAGAAAAAATAGATGAGTCCATAATTAGATAATTCTCTAAAAAAAATAAACAAACAAAACTCATGCCTAACTCCTCTCCGTTAAGCACAAAAAGAAAGAAAGAAAGAAGAAGAAGAAGAAGAAGAAGAAGAAGAAGAAGAAGAAGAAGAAGAAGAAGAAGAAGAAGAAGAAGAAGAAGAAGAAGAAAAAACGAGGAAGGCCGCTAGACATTCCGAAGCAGCGAAAAAAAAAAAAAAACCCGGCAGGAAATAACACGGAATTTCTACGCTCGAAAACACAGTCCTCAGATATAAGAGCGAGTGAGAACGTTATAAGAATATTTTCGGTGTAAAGAATCGTATTTTTGTTCGTTATATGAATGATTTTTTTGATGTTATGATGCATGGGTTTATCGTATGAAATAATTATGTTGGGTTCGTATCCTCGTGTTTAGTTATTTCCTGTTAGGTTGGAATATATGTATTTTTGATCAGAATTTCAATCAGATTTTTTTATATTTCTGTTTCGGATTATTTTTCATTTCCGTTTTATTTATCTATTTTTTTCTTTTTATTCTGTACCTCCTCTCTTTCTCTCTTCCTTCCCCATCCTAGACCGACCCCCACCCCCCACCCCCCTCCCCTCGCTGTTTCTTCCTGTCCTTTTCTCTCTTGCTGTAATTTGATATTTTGTGTGTGTGTACGTGTGTGTGTGTGTGTGTGTGTGTGTGTGTGTGTGTGTGTGTGTGTGTGTGTGTGTGTGTGTGTGTGTGTGTGTGTGTGTGTGTGTGTGTGTGTGTGTGTGTGTGTGTGTGTGTGTGTGTGTGTGTGTGTTTCTGTGTGTGTATATGTGTGTATTTCATTACATCAATAAAAAAAAATCTGAGAATTTTACCATGGGATAGAAAAGAAGGATACACACACACACAGAAACACACACACACCGCGTACCTTCATGTATACACGAGAGCGAGGGCACAGAAACACACACATGGAGAATAAAGGAAGGAACCAGAACACACACACAAACTTTTATTTAGACACACTTTTACTTGTCTTTTATGATAGCATCTGCACTGTGCCTTTCCGGATGTATAAGCTGAGAGAGAGAGAGAGAGAGAGAGAGAGAGAGAGAGAGAGAGAGAGAGAGAGAGAGAGAGAGAGAGAGAGAGAGAGAGAGAGAGAGAGAGAGAGAGAGAGAGAGAGAGAGAGAGAGAGAGAGAGAGAGAGAGAGAGAGAGAGAGAGAGAAGGGGGAGGGGGGAGATGGAGATAGAGATAGAGATAGAGATAGAGATAGATAGATAGATAGATAGATAGATAGATAGAGAGAGAGAGAGAGAGAGAGAGAGAGAGAGAGAGAGAGAGAGAGAGAGAGAGAGAGAGAGAGAGAGAGAGAGAATGAGAAGCAAATATATAGAGAGAACAGAGTCTGTGTGTGTTTGTGTGCGTTTATATGCATGTGCGTACGTCTGCGTATGTCTGTTCCTGTTCGTGTGTGTTTGTTTATACAAGCTATACGTCCACGTTTGTTCTGAATATGTTTGTTTGTGTTTACCTTCTACAACTTTCCGTTAGTCCATATAACCTTTTTTTTTCTCCCAAAATACAAACACAACTTCCTGCCCTCGTCAAGTGTAAGAGAGGTCAGGTCAGGTCAGCCCAGATTTATTCCGTTATGAAATACCTTTCACTCACTCAATCACCCAATTTTAACACAATTTTTATATTATGGTGACTTAGAAAAAAGTTAGTAATTGAAAATAACGAAAATGAATAACAAAATCACATCTATAAAGGAACTATTTTCCAACGAGAGACTCCAAGCTGTGTCAATAGGTCAAGGTCATGACCTCAGAGAATAGAACTTTGTTTGGAGCGCTAATATGTTGTCCCTTTTTGACCCCCGAGTATAAACATGTTTACTTCGTCTATACATTTGTGGAAAGAAAAAAAAAAAAGAAAATTTCGGCTGGAACGACGGAAACTTATGATATTAATGGCGAGATAATTATAATAATTGTAATAGGAACAATAATGGTTATAGGAATGGTAAAGGCAATGGTAAAGGGAAAGATGAATGTAATGATAATAGTAATAATGAATAACAAAATAGTAATATAATAATAAACAACACAATAGCGCTTGGTATCATTACCTAAGTGATTCATACCATTCTATTACGAAACCATTACCAATAACCCCCCCCACCCCACACCCCACACCCAACCCCGCTCTCTCACTTCATCTAACCCATCTCTCTTTCTCTCCCGCCCACAGAGACGGCAAAACGCCCACCAGCGGAAACGCCCAGGCGGGTTCGACACACTTGGACAGCGGTTCGGAATCCCTCGATGAAGTGAAACCTCACTCTCCTCACTAGACTCGCCTCTTCCAACGTCAACACCCACATCGTTCAGGTGAGTTTTGGGGGCGGGAGAAGGGGTGGGAGAAGGGGGTGGGGTGGGGTGGGGGTGGGTGGGGGGGGTGGGGATGGGGGTGGGGGAGGCAGTGCTAGGATTGGACAGGTGGTAGAATGGGTAAAACATTATCTTGGTTGGTAATACGACACACACACACATGCACACACACACACACACACACACACACACACACACACACACACACACACACACACACACACACACACACACCACACACACACACACATATATATATATATATTTATATTAGATAGATTAGATAGATTTAATTCATATAGAAAGATAGATAGATATCATAGTAATACTCTAATAATTAAGGGTATATTCATATACATATAGTGATAGTTACTGATAGCAGTAGTGATGGTAGTAACAATGATAATAACAATGGTAATAATAATAATAATAATGATAATAATGAAAATAATATATATAATGATAATAATATAATGATTAATAATAATAATAGTAATATAGTAATAATAATAATCATAGTAATATTATTAAAAATAATAGTGGTCATTTAATAATAAGAATAATAGTAACAGTAATTATGATAATGATGATTGCAACCGTAGTAATAAGAGCAACCTGCAAAGCCAGAGAAGCACCCGCCCAGTAACCCCCTCCCCCCCAGGACCCCGTGGGCCACACCGACCTGTACAGCGAGCTGAGCAAGGTGGGCGGCGGCGCCAACGGCATGTCCTCGGTGGCGCCCGTGCCGGCGTCCGTGAGCTCGGCGTCCGCCATCGCCGCGGCCTACCAGACGCAGCTGAGCCTGGCGGCGGCGGCGGCGGTGGCGGCCAGACACAACACGGTGGGCGGCGACCACGGCGGCGCGCCCATGGCCCCCCCCTCGCACCACGACATCCTCCACGACTACCACTCGTTGTGACACAGCGGCCTATAGAGCCTGCCCCCCCGCGCCCTCCTCCCCGCCCGCCCACGCCCGAGGTGACGCGACCGCCGCCGCCACGATGCTGCCGCTGCTGCCGCGAGCCACAACATCGCCCACCGCCGATGACTAGCGGGACGCCCACCGCCCACCGCCGCCGCCCGCCCGTGAGGAGAGGAGGGCGCGCGGAGAGACTGGTTCCGCGGCGAGAGCGATCCAACATGGCCGCCGGAAGGAACCACGGAGAAGAAACGAAGGAAAGAGAGAGAAACAAGGAAACGAAACGAAGCAAAGAACGAAAGAAACAGAAAGAAAAATCCCGGAACCAAAAGACAAAAGAATCACAGAAGCGGCCCCGTCTGGCACCACCACTCCCCCCCCCTAAAATGGCACAGAAATACCCCCAAAACACATCTTTCTTTTTTACTCCCAGTGACATTTCTCTCCGCCCTTTCTTTAGCAGCTCCTGAAGGCGTGTGCGATTGCATGGGCGTGGGTGTTACATATATATATATATTATATATATATATATATATATATATATATATATATATATATATATATATATATATATATATATTATGCACACACACAGTATATATCCGTATATGTATTGAAGGGCAGGTGATCCCATCCCCCAAAACAAAAGCCCCGTGTGTCTGTCTGGTCAAGAAGGACGATTCTCAAACGCAACGCTATGGCCGAGAAACCCTTACGCGAAACCAGACTGAGTGATCGCTTTTTTTATGATGAAGGGCTCTTATTATTATTAGTGTTTACTATTTTTTTTTCTTTTTTTTCTGGATGTTTAAACTATTCTTGATTATATGTGGTGGTTGTAGTGCTAGCCCTGAGGCGTTAGTGTCGACACACCGCCATTTTGTGATAAAATAAGAAACGCAAGACTTTTTTTTTTTTTTTTTTTTTTTTTTTTTTTTTTTTTTTACAACGATAGACCTATATTGTTTACTGTTACCATCCGTGTTGTGCTGTGGCAGACGTGCGAGGAGCTGTGGGTGTAGCATTGGCAGTGTCGGACTTTATTTCCTACACTGAGGACATCAATTGTCCCGAATCGTCAGTGCGGCGAAGAAGAAGAAGAGGAGGAGGAGGAGGATGGCCAAGAGGAAGAGGAAGAAAGACGGAGAAAATGAGAGAAAGTAGCGATAATCCTCTCGCTATTCAACATAAAACAAAACACATAGTCTTTATCTCGAATCTACTTAATCAAAGAAAAAAAAATGGAAAAAAAATACCAGAAAGGGATGGATCTGCCCACAGAATACCTGAGCTTTAAAAACACACACTTGCGGGATGAGACGGAGGTAGTATGGTGTATAGGGAGGGAGAGAAGAGAATGTGATGGAGAAGAGAGAGGAAAGAGAGATGAAATTCTGAAATTTCAAGCAAAGATTGACCTAATTTGCAAAGAATCTGTGACTGTTTTTTTTTTTTTTTTTTTTTTTGTGTGCCTGTTTCTTCCTTTTCTCTCTTCTCCGAGCCCTCCCTTCGCAGCTCCTCCAAATCCTGTGTATTATCCATCAGGTTCTACTTAGTTCTTTTACCTGAGAGAAAAGGAAAGAAAGAGAGAGAAAGAAAGAAGTGGAATAACGATAACTCTCTTCGTTTCTCTCCCTCTCTTTTGGAATGAAAGGTATTTGTATTCGCTTTCTATTTATAAAACAAAATCTCATGGAACTAAGCAGAACCTGGGAAGTAAACTGACCAAGTCAACTCTTTGGATCCTAACCAGGAATCTGATATATATATATATATATATATATATATATATATATATATATATATATATATATATATATATATATATATATATATCCCTCTTCCATATATACAGGGATTCCCTGTGAAGAATAGTGAAGCAAATTGTCTACTTAAACAAGGGGAAAATCTTGTGGAATTCCTGGAGTGTAGATCTATTGGTTTTATCACTGATTATCATTATCATGATTTCGTCTTATAAATATGTATTTTTTTTAACCCCCAGCCTAATTTCTGTATAGGCTGGGCCCATTGTCTAAATCTCTTGGAATATGAAGAAGATTTGTACAGACGTTTAGCCTGAGGCGTCGGCCCGGAGGAGACAGGTGATTGGCTCGTTGAGGATAGATATGTGATCACTGATTGGCCAAAGGACTTCTGTTAGAGATAGCGCCAGCCAATCAGCGGATAGATACGTGATTATCCCTGATTGGCTACTGGACTTTTTTTTTTTTTTTTTTTTTTTTAGAGATAGCGCAGCCGATCAGCGGACAGGTCTCGAGTCTTAGGATTATAAACAATAATAACCGCTCCACACAGGAGTTTGAGTAATGGAATTCAAGCCTCTGTCTCACTGTATGATGGTGTTTGTATAGATCAATGATGGAACACTTTTTTGTATAGAAGGGTGCACCTTTGTATGATAGAAATGCCTCTGATAGAAATTAGATTATTTCAAGTAATGTTATAGAAATGTTAAGCTGTATAAACAAAATAAAAAAAGAAAAAGAATACTCCTTTCCTAGAGCAGAATGGTTTAGAGTTTTCCAATTTGACTCTTTCGTTCGAATTCCAGGCGCGTGTTTAGCAACGTTGAAGAGCATTGCATTCCATGTTTCCTGAATGATCTTTTTGTGATGCCGAAGCACTTGCAGCATTTGGCGAAAATAAGAATTTAAAAAAATAACCAATGCGATGCCCTGTAGCACTTGGCTTGAATCCTAGAAGAGAAAGAGAAATTTTTTAAAAAGATAAACTGTATGTGATTTTTTTTTCTTTGCTAAGTTCTCGTTTAGGAGGAAGCCTAAGCCACGGCCGCGTCGGACCGAACACTGCCTGAAACCTGTGCTTCGGTATAATATTTTTTTTCATACTCCTATATGTACATTTTATCAGAGATACCAAATAAATATCGTAGTGAATATGCAATCCCAACGAAATCCATTGAAACAATCGAAGTAAAAGGATTGTAAACTACCAAAAATAGATAAATTCAGGAAAAAAAAAATCAAAGGACATTTTTCTAAGCGCAGTTCTGTCGTTCGGATCTTATGGCGACGCCGGCTTTGTCCAGCAGTTACCAGAATTATCGAATTTTATATATATAAAAAAAACTTTAATTTCAAGAAAATCAAGGCTTAAAAATAGGGGGTCTCTTCTCCTGTCAGTATTTGTATAATTTGATTATCGTTCACTTTTTCTAGGATAAAAGTGAACTTGTTAGATGAAAGTTAGACTAATGTCTCATTAAAAAAAATAAAATGAAATTAACGGTGGAGATGCTAACAGGAATTCTTTCTTGTGTAACAATATTTTTTTTCTATCTTTCATAGAGAACCAGATTTTGCACAAACTTTTTTTCATGATGGCAATACCAGTTGTGAAAGTGTGTGTAGTGTATTGTCTGGTAAACCCTTTTTTTCTATCTTTCTGGTACATTAAAAGAAGAAAATATAATGTTCCTAATGAGAGTCTTTTCTACGTGTTTTCTTTTTTAATCTGTACAAATTTGTAGCAAAACCTTGAGTACAATATATTCTGTTTTTTATCATTATTATCATTCTGAAAATAATAAGGAAATAAACTCTATATCCTATAAAACCAAAACTATAAACAAAACAAAGGAGCATTAGTTTGATACTCCGTGAATCCCCTTTTGTCCTCTTTCAAACCTTATTTATAGAATCGAATTTCCTTTCCTCACCCCCCCCCCCCCAAGCAAATGCTCTGACGTAGCCAATCTTTTTACTGAAGTCTCCCTCGATTTTTTTTTGCATTTTTTATGATTTGATCGACTAATTGTACATATATTTACTTATAAAACTACAAAGAGGAGGATTGTATATAGTTAATATAATGTGATGTGTCGCTGCTTCTGCTTCATGCAAATCTTGCTCATAAATGTTAATAAAAATCACAGTTAATACAACATTTGTGTATCT